AATTTTTGCTGGTAACTCCAACTTGATCCGGCGCGATTGGATTCATTCTTGCCTTCACCCCTTTCCTTATTTGTAACTTCTTTCTCAGATATAAATGGCTCTCATTATCTACAACATAGCTAATTACTTGTTCAACGCTAGTATGCATATAAAGTAGTTTCAGAACTGCTAACCCAACCCTTCTGAGAAACACTGACCAACTTGAGTACAGTGTTTATGGACATTCTGTTTTCTTTAGCCTTCAGTTTCCTGTCAAAACACTGTTTTCCAAAATTACTTAAGTTGGCACCTTTCTTCCTCACCCCCTTCAGTGTGGTTATATGATCCATTTGTAACATAGATTCATTTGTCAGTCTGCATTCCATTTTAAGTACCTCTTAAAACCAGGCAAATAGTTTAAAATCTACATACAGCAAAATTTGCTCATTGTGATACATATTCTTACAGTTTTTCTAAACCAATGCAACCAGTTGTGTACCACCATCCCAGATCCACACAGGGACAGTTCCATCACACCCCAAAGTCCCTGACATTGCCCCTTTATAGTCAGTCCCTATCCCTAAATCCAATCCCTGGCAACCACTGATCTTTTTTCATCTCTGTAGTTTTTATTTTTTTAAAAGAATGTCATATATAGCCGGGCATGATGGCTCACCTCTATAATCCTAGCACTTTGGGAGGCAGAGGCAAGAGGATTGCCTGAGCGCAGGAGTTTGAGACTAGCCTGGGCAATTTGGTGAGACCTTGTCTCTACAATAAATCAAAAAATTAGCCAGGTATGGCGGCACCTGTCTGTAGTTCCAGCTACTTGGAAGGCTGAGGCAGAAGGATCACCTGAGCCCAGCAGGTCGAGGCTGCGGTGGCTGTGAGCATGCCACTCCAGCCTGGGTGACAGAGTGAGACTTTGACTAGAAAAAGGCTGGGTTCAGTGGTTCAGCCAGTAATCCCAGCACTTTGAGAGGCTGAGGCAAGTGATCACCTGAGCCCAGCAGGTCGACGGTGTGGTGGCCTTGGGCATGCCACTGCACTCCAGCCTGGGTGACAGAGTGAGACTCCAACTCAAAAAAAAAAAAAAGGTAATGTAAAAGGTATTGTATAGCACATAGTCTTTTGTGTCTGGTTTCTTTCACTTAGCATTATGATCTTGAGATTCATCCATGTGGTTTTATGTATCAGTTGCTACTTTGTTTTTATTTTTTATGGAGTAGAATTTCATTGTATAGCTATTATACAATTTGTTTAAACATTTACATGTTGATGGACATTTGGCCCATTTCCCATTTTTACTATAACGAATGAAATTGCTATACACATTCACGGGCGGGTGTGGACATATAGGTATTGAAATTTTTACTGAGTAAATACTTATATGTGAGATTACTGGATTATATGGTACATAAATATTTCACTTTGTAAGAAACCCCCATTTTGTATTATTTTGTATTCTGATGAATAATTATGAGAGTTCTAGTTGCTCTAAATTCTCACCAGCATTTGGTATGGTCTAACTTTCAAATTTTAGCTCTTGTGATAGGTGTAGAGTGGTATCTTATGTGTTTTTGTTGCCTGAGATCAAATCTTACTGTGCAATTTCCTGATGATTAATGACATTGAGCATCTTTTTCATAGACTTATTGCCATTCACATATCTTCTCTGGTAAATTGTCCATTCAAATATTTTGACCATTAAAAAAATAAGATTATGTTATTATCACGGAGATGTAAGAGTACTTTATACATCCTGGATATAAGTCCTTTATCAGATATATGTTTTGCAAATATTCTTCACAGTCTGTTTCTTGTCTTTGTTTTCTTACCAGTGTCTTTCAAAGAATAGTTTTTCATTTTGATGAAAACTAGTTGATTATTTTTTTCTTTTATAGTTTGTTCATTTTGAGTACTACTAAGAAAATATTTACTTAACTCAGGGTCTCAAAAATTTTCTCCTCTATTTTTTGTCTAGAAGTTTAATAGTTGTAGCTATTACTTTTGGGTCTATGATCCATTTTGCTTTAATTTGTTAAATTGTGTGGGGTAAGGAGGTAAGTTTTGTTGATCTTCATATTTGTCCTGTTTATGGATTTCCAATTTTTCCAGCATTATTTGTTGAAAATGCTGTTATTTCTCCATTGAATTACCTTGAGATTTTTGTCCAAAATTGACAGGCCACACATGTACAGATCTATTTTGGATTCTCCATACTGTTCACTTAATCTACATGTCTATCTTTATGCTAATATCACACTGCAGTGATTACTGTATTTTTATATTTTCTACAAATCAGGTAATATAAGTCCTTAACTTTTTTCTTTTCAAAATTCTTTTAATTCTATAAATTCTTTGCAGCTTATCAATTTTACAAAAAATACCTGGTGGGATTTTTACAGGGATTTAGATTATTTTGAGGAGAATCATCATGGCAATATCAATTCTTCCAATTCACAAAAATATCACCATATCCTATTTTATCTAGACCTTCTTTATCTTACCAATATTTTGAAGTTTTGGGTTTTTTTTTTTTCTGAGTCGGCATCTCTCTGTCACCCAGTCTGGAGTGCAGTGGCATGCTCATGGTCACCACAGTGACCTTCCAAGTAGCTGGAACCACAGGCATGTGCCACCCACACCCCGTTAATTTTTAAATTTTATTTATTTATTTTTTATTGCAGAGATGAGGTCTCTCCAGGCTGGTGTTTTGAAGTTTTAAGTGCACAGGTCTTGCACATGTTTTGTTAATTTTTCTGGTTCATGTTTTTTTTATGTAACTGTAGGTGAAGGAGTTGGGAATGTATGTAGATCTAAGGAAACAGCTAGTTCAAAGGAGAGCCATACATTTGAGTCATAGCATCTTGAAAATAAGTCCAGGCTCTATGCTTCTTAATTGTGTGAACATGGGAAATTCAAATATCTTGGTTTATAAATATATGAAATGGAGACAATAATATCTACCTTTCGTGATGGTTTGTGCAATTATTTCCAAAACAGTTTTTCCAAATGATGTGTTATTTTAGGGAGAACGCAGTTAATGTCAATTCTGAACCAGGAGATTTAGAAGTTTGTATGTCCTCTTCATGCGGGTGGGGGAAAGTAAGACATTTTAGAGGAAGAGTAAATGGTTTTTAGAGGAGATGCCTGGACCCAAAGAACAGATGATAGCCTGGGACAAAGTGTGTCTGGGCTCTGGGTGTGATGTCAACTCTGGTCTTCCTTTCTGCAGTGTGCACCCGTCTTCCCTAACTGATGAGACATCTGGGGAAGGGATTCATAACAAATTAGTATCTTCTGGAGGATCTGGCCTTCAAGGTAGGTAGGTGAACTTCAGAAAAAGTCATTCCCTGAAGTTGCTGCTCCCCAAGGGCTCTTAGTTTGAAGTCCAAAGTGGCATATTTTGGGGGATAATTTTCTGAGCCCCAAGAACTTTTATGCTATGTAATCTAAACTTTCATTTTTCAGCAAGATGTCAGAATATGAGTGCAATGGGGATCCAGCCATTCTTGATAACAGGGTACAAATTCCTTCTAGAATGTGATAAAACCTATAAATTCCAGAAAATGCTCTATACAGGATTCTAGGGAAGGGGTTAATAGACCCCTTGAATTCCACTTGTGGGCCCTAGTTTTAAGAACTCTGATTTACAGAAATCAATAAACAAAAAGAAAACATAAAAACCTAGTTTGCCTGAATAAAAATACCATATGTTTACTTATACAAATAGTTTATATTTCCTTACTATGTGATACAGAAACTATTTTGTGCATAATTATACCAGATTAACTTTGTTGCAAGTTTGATTTGGTTATAAAGCTAAACTTGATGCAGGCTTTGCCTTTATTAAATGTTGTTCATGTGGCACAGTGAACAACTTTAAAAGGAAACATCAGAGAGACTGTTTCTTAGGAGCCAGTATTCTGCCTCCTGTTTTCATCTATTGAAATAATTATTTCCCAGGTTGGAAATGTGTTCTCTTATGGAATAAACTGGTAGGTGGAAGGCTGTGAGGCAGAGTGGAAGGTAATTAGGCTTCAAAAGACATCACATCTGGGTTGGAATCCTAGTGCAGTCACCACTCTTAGCAAGCCCTTTAACCCCTGGTCTTCACTAACTTCATCTGTTAAAAGGGAATAAAAAAATACCTTCGTGAGGGGTTTGTATGAGGATTTGGGACAATGCAAAGTTCCCAGGTCATATTAGATCCTAAATAAATGGCGCTATTAATTGTGAGTATTTGGTGTTACATAACTAGCTGCTATGTTGCCCAGGGCTTCCAATGCCATGTAATCCAACTGGCACAAGATCCCTGAGTTCAGGGGACAATTGCTTACTCTGTTGGGGGAGTAGCAGATGCCAATTGAGTAAGCAATGTTGATAAATGTTGACGTCCCTAAGGTGCCGGGGAGCCAGACTTGAGGTGATGGCATATCCTTCCTTTGAGAGTCCAATGAAGCATGAATGTCACTCTGTTGGTCCATGCAATATCTAAGGTGATTTAATCATCCGAAACTGACACACACAGGGAAAGAACCAGTTCAATAATAACATCTTTTCCTTCCTTGCTGTTGGCTTCCTTGTTCCCTCGCCCCACCCCCCTTTCCCGGTTCAGTGGATACCAACACAATGACTAATACATCTTCTGACACTTTTTTTTTCTTCCAAGAACATAGTTTCACATCTGGGTAAGTGCCATAACCTTCCCTGACTCCTTTGGAAATAATAGGTTCATTCTTTCAGTCACATCCACCGATTTTCAGGGCAAAGTGTACTGCCCTGGAAGTGGAATGTAGTGTGGCATGGTGGGGAGAGTAGAAGGCAAGAACCAGAATGGTGACCCGATTCAGGTCCCCATCTTCATTTCTGCATCTCTCTGAACTGAGCTGATTCCTCATTTGTACAGCGCATCAAGTCCCGCCTCGGGTGTGATGTAAGCTTCGTTCTCATACAAGGCAAGGGGTGATGCACAAGACCCGGGAGCTCGTTTGCGGATCCCAGGAAGCCGACTACAGCTACGTGGACGCGACGAGAACAGCGCGTTGCGCGCGCAGCTTCTCCGCCGCCTCTCGAAGCCAGCGTCTCCGTTGCCAGGGAAACTGGGGCGGCGCGCTTTCCGGTGCAGTCGCGGCGCGTCGCAGCTGTCATGGCGGAGACGGTCTGGAGCACGGACACGGGGGAGGCCGTATATCGCTCCCGGGACCCCGTGCGCAACTTGCGCCTCCGGTAGTCGCCCCGCTCTGGCTCTGGGGCCTATGCTTTTATGCCCTCAGATAATTCCAGAATGAACTTGGGGTTCTGAGGACCCCACTTTCTCCCCGGTCTCCCCCCATCTCCTTGCACGCTACCCGTTTTCCTATCCACTCAGCCTCCAAGCACACCTTTCAGACCCACCCAAGTCCTTTCAGGTTCTTTTCGCTCCCAAATTTCTCAGAACCCTGTGTCCCCAGTACACCCTCTCACCCAAGCTCTTCCCCATATGACCCCTGCGGCTCTCCCATCTCCTCTCAGTTGTCTGCACCCAGCACACCTTGGCAAGCCTACCTCCTCTGTGTTTTATTTCTCCCATACTTGCTTTGTGTTCGTCTCCTGGTTGTGTGTCTTGTAACGCATAATTTGGGCTTTTCTTTTCTTGACAGAGTCCACCTGCAAAGAATCACATCAAGCAACTTTCTTCATTATCAACCTGCTGCCCAGCTCGGGAAGGACCTCATAGACTTGGCCACTTTTAGGTCTCACCCAACTGCCAGTGGGTGTTATGATGTTGATGCTACCCCTCTGAGGATCTGGGAGAGGGTCTGGGGCAGTAGTGTTACCTCTTAAGACGCAGTAGACCCAGTCTGTGGTCTTAAGAGAAACCTGCACCTTTTTATAGAGGAGGAATGAAAGGTATAAAGAGGTTGAATTCCTTGTCCAAGGTCATACAGGTGGTAAATGTTAGAGCCAGGATTTGAAGCCAGGCAATATTAACTACTACATTGTGTTATGTATGAAAATTGATGTGATTCCTGCCATAAAAATACTGATAAGTATTGTGGCCAAATGTAGTGAAATAACAAATACCATACTTTTGATATGTATTTGCCTGGCAACCTAAATACGACTTGTGGCACTCCTTGTCTAAGAGAAAGTATGCTGCAAACTCTACACATATAAACGCTTTAAAAAACAATTTCAGAGTCATTGACTACTTGAAAAATATGCATATGACTATCACCTGTATTCTTGGACTTTTCCTTATCTGGAAAGCCAAAAAAGTGAGGAAGAGAGGACAGGGTGTTTATGTTAGGTCACCAGTCTTCCTGTTTTTGTTGTTTCCTTCTATTCACAAGTGTTCCTGGGAAAGAGTGTGAGCTGGTGGGTTGTGAAGCATGTGGCTCTGAAAAAGGCATACTTAGCCAGGAGTGTATTAATTTCATTTATGTATTAATTTTTTTTTCCCTCCATAGAACTGCCAAGTCCACAGATTTGGCTTTTAAAAAATCACTTATTTTGCCTTTTCTGTCCTCTCCTGATACTTGGTTTCCTAAGTTATAGTGTTTGTGATTCTATGTATATGGCTTCAGGAATAGGAAAGATAAAAATACCAGAGTATTTTTTTTTCTAGCAAATGAAGACAGTTGGGGAAGGGGTGGCTATTCAGTCTATATCTAAATTTTACTTCCTGACACTCAATTAGATTAAATATTTCCTTGAAGGTAGGACTACCTTTTATCCAAATTAGAGTAGTGGGCCTTAATCTTGGCTTCTGTTCATACTGTCATATACTGTGGAGTATATTCACAGCCTCTCTAGCCTTTGTGTAGATTGAGTTCTTAATAAATTACTGAACTGCAACTGATTTTGTGGCACCACAGAGCAAGAAGTGTTACAGGTTTGGCTCAAGTGTTTAACCCATTCTGCTGTCTTTGAAGGTGGACACCGCCCAGATGAAGATGAAGAGGAAGAGGCTGTGATTGGGTGGCAGGAGAAGCTCTTCAGCCAGGTGAGCCAGTGTCTCTAGTCTGCTCAATCTGCCGCCACCTGGTCTATCTCCACCTGACTAGGGATTCATATTGCCAAACTGATTTCCAGAAAGGTTGTGACAATTTATAATTTCCCCTGTTATTTTTATAGGGGCAACATAACATGTTCTGTGATCCTGTGTAAGGCACTTTTCACCTCTGGTCTATATGCCAACAGTAACAGCAAACTTGGATTAGACTGTTAGTCTGGTTCCTTTTAGCTCTAACATTGTTGGATCCCCTGCCCTCCATTAGGTTAGAATTGGTTGTGAAAGTATCAAATAACATCAGCCCTATAGAATTGTTCTGACTAAACAGTTATAGGAGCAAATGTTGGATGTGTTCTCAGTATATCTCTGTTTCCTTGTGGTGACCTCAGTTTGAAGTAGATCTGTACCAAAATGAAGTTGCCTGTCAGAGCCCTTTGGATTATCAGTACCGCCAAGAGATTCTGAAGCTGGAGAATTCAGGTGGCAGGAAGAACCGACGAATCTTTACCTATACTGACTCTGACAGATACACCAATTTGGAGGAGGTATTGTTCTTTCCAAGGTCTTATAGCTTCCTTCTTAGTGTTCCCTAGTTTTCTGTACTCACTGGGTTCTGTGTATTAAATTAAAAACCTATTAAGAGGGGACAGGTCGCCTGTCCAGAAACCGCTCTGAGCTGCTGGCAGCCAAGCTGAAATAGAGTGAGCACCATCTGCAGGTGGTATAGCTGCTGGTCCCTTCTCCACCTGCTGGAGGAAGTGGGGGAGCCTGCAGTGTCTCTGATTACAGGCTTGCAGAGTGCATACCAGGAGAAGTAACTAGTGGACTTGACTTCTTCCATGCATCAAGAAATAAGACAGGTGGTGGAGTCTAGAACAACTAGATAAAATTCATCAGGGGACTTAGCATATGGGTTTGAAGGGAATTCAGTACAGCTGTGGGTAATGGCTTATGTTCTCAGTTTGCCTATGCCAGCGTACCTTTGTGGACTTGTTTTACGTTTTCTTCAGTCACTGCACTTCAGTCATTTCTGTCTTCTTAGTAAGATTTTTAACTCCTTGAGGACAGAGCCTGTATTTTCTGATTTTTGTCTGTGACCCTGTGGATCTCTGCTAGGAGCAGGTGTTCAATGAATGTTTTTGAAAGAATGGCATGCTTTCATTAGAAGAGCTGTGGTTTAGTAGCATATAAAGTGTTTTGGAAAAGCAAATAAAAATGCAGTTAGTGCTCAGTTACCACATGAGGGTTTTCCACAAAATGCTTGTATCCCACTTGGCATTTTCTAACCACCTACTTAACTTCAACATCTACTAGGCAGCTAACTCAATTTTTTGTTGGTTTGTGCTAAAAAAATGCAGATGGATTTTTTTTTTTTTTTGAGACAAGGTCTCACTCTGTCACCCAGGCTGGTGTACACTGGCATAATCAAGGCTCGCCGCAAGCTCAGTCTCCTGGGCTCAGGTGATCCTTCTGCCTCAGCCTTCCAAGTAGCTGGGACTACAGGTACATGCTATCACACCCAGCTAATTTTTTGATTTTTTTTTTTTTAGAGAGACAAGTTCTCGCTGTGTTGCCCTAGTCTGGTTTCGAACTTCTGGGCTCAAGTGATCCTCTCCCACCTCAGCCTCCCAAAGTGCTGAGTTTACAGGTGTGAGCCACTGTGCCCGGCCTCAGATAACATAAATAACTCATTTCCAAAATCCTAAGGCGAACTAAGACGTGGTAGGAGTCTTCTTTGGGCTGTTTATGCCACTGCTGACCATATTAGCATGTATAATTGTGAGATGGCTGTACCTGTCAGATTCAGGTCCCAGATGGGGTTTCAGACAAAAGACTTCCCTTCAAGCACTTGATCTCATGTGACCTTGACCAGATGGCTTACACGGGGCTTCTCTCTTTTCCCAGCACTGTCAGAAAATGACCACTGTAGCCAGCGAGGTGCCATCATTCTTGGTGGAGCGAATGGCAAATGTCAGGCGGCGACGGCAGGACAGGCGAGGAGTGTGAGTGCAACTGTGTATGGTGGGGCTCGGGGGAGTTTGTGGTCCTTCCATGCCAGTATTCTCTGTCCACCCACTTGAGCTTTTACTTTTTATTTCCTAAACTTATGTTGTTTTGAATTTTTATCAGTGGTAGTGCACAGTATTCACATATTACTTTATAATTACTGGTAAAATGTCTTCCTCACCCTTCATGTGGATAGTTTTCTAAAATGCCCCATAGAGAGGGAAGTTGTATCATTTCTGTTTGTCAGATATTTTGGCTTAAGAAATAAAACAAAATAGTACGTCTGCCAACGAACCTCCACTAGGTCTGTTTCCCTGTAATCCCCTTCCAGGCTCTTCAAGGGGTGCCAGGGAAGTGACCCTTCCTGTAATGTCTCCTAGGGAGGGCAGCATCCTCAAGTCACGCATCATCACCTGGGAACCCTCAGAAGAGTTTGTCAGAAACAACCATGTCCTTAATACCCCTCTTCAGACAATGTACATCATGGCGGACCTGGGGCCCTATGGAAAGTGAGTGGAGCTTCTCACTGTCAGTTCAGATTCTCATTCTCTTCTCCCACTAGCCGTCACCTTCTTGTTACAGTCATGTAGGATATGTGGAAGGGAGGGAGGGACTTTTCTTCATTTTCTTAGTTGTACTTGAAAGAAAGTCTTTTACCATGGTAGCTCTCACCACATCCTCTCTTCTCCCTCCTGAAGCGGGCTGACTATCTCCTTCTCTTTCTCTGGGGAACCAGTGATCCTGAACCTTGGTGTTGATTTCCTGATTTCTAGGCTTGGCTATAAGATGTATGAACATGTTCTCTGTACTCTGAAGGTGGACAGCAATGGTGTGATCACAGTAAAACCTGACTTCACGGGCCTCAAAGGACCCTACAGGTGAGGAGAGGAAGAAAGGGGTAGTGGAGACTGGTATTCCTTCTCTAGGCTTCGCTTCTTGACACTAAATGAGATTCTCAGAAGGCCCTTCATCTGTTCTAACTTTAGAATTCCCAGGCAGTGATTCATATTCTATTCTGGGTCATAGGCCCTTAGAAAACTTGGGACCCTGTTCTCAGAAAATGTGCAACTGCACCAGTTTGAAAGGGATCACTTCAACTGTGTCATTAAGTAAAAGTGAGTCTCTGTGCTGCCGAATGTAAGAACTGACCAGAACAGAGTGGGATGAACTCAGGTCTTTTCCTCTGGGCTGCCTGTTCCTTATCTCTATGTCTTGGAATCATGGAACTGTAAATTAGAAATTATTTGGACCAACCTGTCCATTTTTCAGGAGAGAGCACTGGAATGTTGTGCTTAGGGCTTCACTGTGACTTCAAGGCAGGGGTGGGCTCAGAACCTGTGCTCTCCCAGTCTAGTTTGGTACCCTTTTTGCTTTCCCATTTGCCTACCTCTCCTGATCATATACTTCAAGTGAGGTGGCTGGCCCCTGGTGAGTCATCCCTGGGTTAAATCTGAAGGGCCCAACTCTCTGATCAGAGTTGATCCTTTTATGACTTTGACCTTACAGAATTGAGACAGAGGGAGAGAAGCAGGAACTGTGGAAGTATACAATCGACAATGTGTCCTCTCTCGCACAGCCGGAGGAAGAGGAGCGGGAGCAGCGAGTGTTCAAGGATGTAAGTGCTAGTACATTCCAAGTACCAAGGGGGTCAGCCTACGGGCTTGGAGCTGAGACCATGTCTGAGCCTGTTGTCAGCAGTTGCTGGGGAAAAGCCTTGCCCTTCCCAGCCTTTTCTGACCCAGGAAGCATTGCTGACATATCAGACAGAGGTTTTTGATTGTATAAAATAATAATAATGACCATTATGTGAGCATTTACCATGCTCTGTGCTAGGCACTTTTCTTACCTTGTTTCCTTTAGACCTTACACATTTGAGGTGAATACTTTATTACTATCATTTTATAAATGGGGAAACTGAGATTAGGGAGCTAAGTAGTCTGCCAAGGTCATGTAGCTTATAAGTACGAGAGTCAGGATTTAGTCCCAGACCACCTGACCCCAGAGCCTCTGTGTTCATCTGAAAATGTCAGAGGGTGGATGCTTAAGCCTCCAGCTTTTGGTGGACTTTCCCATTATTGCTTCTTTTCTCCCTCCGTTCAGAACTGAACCCTAGCCTAGCTTGGACTGCATCTTGAGTTTTGGTTTGGTTTGTTTCCTCAGCTTTATGGCCGGCACAAGGAGTATCTCAGCAGCCTTGTGGGCACTGACTTTGAGATGGTGAGTAGCTTGGCTTCCCACAGCACTGTGAGCTATGTTTAGTCAGAGCCTTCTGATTGTGGGCAAATTGCAGTACTCTTAAAGATCTCCAAGACAAACTTTTCAGTGTAAAGAGGAAGTCAATAGCATAGAATGTATAGTCCGTGTTATGTGTTTTGAAATGTTGTATATTGATATAGAACTGTTAATTCACAGAAAAAGGTCTGAAAAGTGTGCATATGCTGTGGGTGGCTTTTTTGGGGGGAGGAGTAGGATTGGGAGGTGGTAAATGGGTAGTGAGTGGTGACACGCATATGTCAGGGACTTTTGCTTTTTATTCCCTAAGCTTAGGTATTTTGCATTTTTATCAGTGGTAATGTATTCATGTATTACTTTATAATTAATTTTGGAAATATATATAAAGATGAAAAAATGTCTTTCTTACCTTGCATGTGGATATGTTCCCCAGTGCCCCATAGAGAGGAAAGGGGTGTCATTTCTGTTTGTCAGATATATTGGCTCTTAAAAAATGACAGGTTAAGTCATTTATTTTGTGGTCTTGTTCTTTGCCTTCCCTCATTCCAGGAAATCCATTTCTAGATCTGGAAACAAGGATAGAATGACTTCCTGGTTTCTTTCTTACTCTTTAAAAAATTAACTTTTATTATTTTCACATTGCATATGTAACAGATATTCAGTATTAAAACAGATATTAAAAATTAAAAATTGGATAAGACAGATACACAAATAATTAAAAAAGAAAACTCCTTCGTTTCTGGACCTTGGTCATCTAAAGGGAACAAAGGTTTGGCTACTCATTTCACACCAAAGAGCAGCTCTTGTTGATTTCCTTGGCTAATTTCCCATATGGCATTGCCCTCACCGCCACTTAAATTATATACTTTTCTTCTATGTAATGAATTTTAGAAATAAGGAAACAGATGTGTGGAGAAGTCTCAGGGTGGGGAGAAAGTGCAATTTTACACCTAGGGTCTGACATCCAGCATCAGGTCTTCTGCAGTTTGTGGATGGGGCCGGAGGAGGAGTGCTGATTCCCTCCATACCACCTAACCTTTTCCCACTTCTCTCTATCTTAGACGGTCCCAGGTGCCCTCCGGCTCTTTGTAAATGGAGAGGTAGGTAAGTGTCTTGCCAGACAGAGATCTCATGATGCTTAGTCAAGTGACCCATGAAGCTGTAAATAATCTACCCCATCTCGGGGGAGGCTTTGGGTTGTCTGCAGTACTTGGAAAACTCAGTGATGACTCTTTCCTGGAAGCGAAGGGTTCCTGGTCCTCTAAAGACTTGCTTCCAGAGAGTGTTGGCCTCTCAAGGCTGGGTTAGGTGCTAAGAGTGGTAGGAGAATAAGCTGAAGTAGTTCCTGTTTTCTCTTGTAGTTTCAGCCCAAGGTTATGAGTATGACAATCTCTACGTCCACTTCTTTGTGGAATTGCCAACTGCTAGTAAGTACTGTCCTTAAGTCTCTCCTTTTATACCCATTTTTACAATTCTAGAGGCATTTGGTCAAGCTTCCCTCCCCACGCCTTCACTGAAATTGTTACTGTTCTGTTCAAGGTCATAGATCACTTCTACTTTGCCAAATTCACTGATAACTTCTCTGCCTTCACCTTAATTGGCCTCTCTGAAGCACTTGACACAGCTCACTTTGCCTCATGAAACACTTCTCCTGGCTTCTGGCTCCACACTTCTCTCTTTCATCTCATAAGTGGCTTATGAACCTCCTTAGCTAATTCCTTCTCTTCTGCTGATCTTAAACTAAGAGAGAACCCAAGGCTGAGCCTGGGGACCCTCTGTTACTCTCGTGTTATGGTCTTCCTGGGCAGTCTCATCTGTCCCATATCTGAGGTTTGTCCCATACTGTCTATATGTCTCAGATTCCCAAATGTCTTTCTTTTGCCTTAACTTTTTCCCTGAACCCCAGGCTCATACCCAGTTACCTCTTTGTCATTTCTGCTTAACATTATCAAAAAGAACTCGTGATTCCCCTTCTTCCCTCAGACCTCTCCTCCCTGTTCTTCCCCATCCTAGCAGAATGGCAGTGTCATCCACTTTGTTGCTGATACCCACAACCTGGAGCCATCCTTGGTTCCTCACTTTCTCTAGCTCCCCGTGGCCATTCAGCCCATCAGCAGTTTCTATTGGCTGTGTCCCAAGTCTGTGTTCTTTCTGCTGCTCTACTCCAAGCCACCACCATCTCTTGCCTTGGTCAGTGCATCACATTTCTGACGTATCCTCTTGCTTTCTCCCTTGCAGCTCATTTGCCACATACACATAGCCAAACTGAGATGTATTTATTTATTTTACTGAGTTGGAGTCTCACTCCATTGCCCAGGCTGGAGTGGAGTGGCACATTCACGGCCACTCCAGCGTTAACCTGCTGGGCTCTGGAGATTTTTCTGCTTCAGCCTTCCAAGTAGCCAGAACTACAGGCACACACTACCACACCTGGCTAATTTTTGATTTATTGTAGAGACGAGGTCTTGCAAAGTTGCCTGGGCTGGTCTCAAACCCATGGGCTTAGGCAATCCATTTACCTTGGCCTCCCAAAGTGCTGGGATTACAGGCTGAGCCACCGAGCCTGGCCCCAAAGTGAGCTTTAAAAAACATAAGGCAGTTGTGTCCCTTTTGAGCTGAAAACTCTAACAGCTTCCTCTCCCTCTTAGAATAAAATCCAAATTCCATACTCTGGATGAGTTGACCTCTGTCTGTCTCTTCCTTACAACATTTCAGTCATTCTTTTTGTTCTGGAACATGCAAGTTCATTCCCACATGGAGCTTTTCAGGTCATTTCCTTTGCCTGAAACCCTGTCTGCCATGTCTTTGCGTGACTGGTTCTTTTTGAGTTGAGGTGTCAGCCTGTGTCACTTCTGAGAGGCCTTCTCTCACTACCCAATTTAAATGAGCCTCTAGGCCACTCAGTCTCTTTCCCTTGTTTTATCTTTAGTATAGCACTTACTGCTACCCAGTAGTCTCCAGTTGGCTGGTTCGTTGTCTGTCTCCCCTGCTGCCCCCAGAATGTTAGCTCCATGAGAAATAGGAATATCTCTATGTGGTTACCAGGATATTCCCAAGATACACCAGCACATAGCATATGCTTGGTAAATGGTAAATTAATGATTGATTGTGTGAATGAGTAAATTACTGAATAAATGAATAAAGAAACTTTGTTTCTTTCTCAACCACTTGCTCTCCTCCCAGGTGAACTTACTATATCTGGTCTTTGGCTTTCAGATTGGTCAAGCCCAGCATTCCAGCAGCTTTCAGGAATAACACAGACCTGTGCCACCAAGTCCCTGGGAATGGTATGGTGGAGAGAGGGTGTCTGGAAGGGAATGAGAGCTGTTCCAGAGGAGGCACTTGAGGCTTTTTTGGGCTAACTGTTCTCTAGGGAGGATTCCAGAGTTGGCTCTGACTCTTCTGTGTGGTCTGCAGGACTCCCTGGTCTTCTCTCAGACTTTTTGAGAATGGCAGCAGCTTGCATTTGGGTGTTTCTTTGCCTCTCAGCCACCCAGGGTGATAATTTTTTTTTCCTTTGTGAAGGTGACCTTGTCATTGGCTACCATAGGGGGAACAAATCAAGTGAAGCCTTGCCCACCCCATGATGCTGAGTATAAAATCACACTCTTTTTTAGGACAAGGTGGCTTACTTCTCCTACCCATTCACATTTGAAGCCTTCTTCCTCCACGAGGATGAATCTGCTGGTGAGTGGCTCAGCAATTGATCCTGGGCCTCACTTCTCTTGGGGAAGCTTCCTGTGACATGGCTGCTCTTCCTATTTGCTCCCAGATGCTCTCCCAGAGTGGCCAGTGCTCTACTGTGAGGTCCTCTCATTGGACTTCTGGCAGAGGTACCGTGTGGAAGGCTATGGGGCTGCAGTGCTGCCTGCCACCCCAGGTAACACCTTGTCCCTAACCTTCTCATGGCCCATATACCTTAGGTCCTTAGGAATAAGACTGACACTTCCAAAAGATTTGAATGCTGCTGGTGAGAAGCAGGGATAATGAGAAATTAGAAGCATTTCACTTGAAAGATGTCTTGCTCCTTTGAGGAATTTCTGCCCCCCCATGAGACGATTAGGTGAAATTAGAACTAACTTCCTGAAGCTGAGCAGCCTGATGGTCTGCCTTGTGCTCTGCGCTGCTCTGACTGGACTTACTGCCTGGAGGGAGAAGCTGTGTGGCAAAATGGCTCTCTCGGTACACGTGTACTGAAGGAATTGGCGTTCATGTCGAGAAAAACATGACAGTCTTTATTGTGTGCCAGATATTGTGCTAAATGCTTCTCATTTAATCTTCCCAACCACTCTGTGAGGTGCAGGCAGTGTTATTATTTCCATTTTACTAAGTGAGGAGAAGGAGGCTCAGTGAGGCTAAGAAACCTGCCCTGGACATGCAGGTGTTAACCGACAGAGCTGAGGTTTGAATTTCTGTCTGGTTGATTTCCGATCAGGTGCTCTTAACCACCATGACAACCTTCTGCAGGGATCAGGACATCACCAGGCAAGGGATTTTAGCAGAGTCCAGGCCTTTGCCATTGCTTGGGAGGCCATGAAGGGCCACACGCCCTTTCTGAACCTGGCCGCATCCTCCTCTCTCGTTGCACAGGCTTGCACACCTTGATGGTCTCCACATGGAGACCCATGGAGCTTGGCACAGTGGCTGAGCTGAGGAGGTTTTTCATTGGCGGTTCTTTGGAGCTAGAGGACCTCTCCTATGTGCGGATACCAGGAACCTTCAAGGTGACTGTCTGTGGGGTGACTTTATGCTGGCTCTTTCTGTTCTGTAGAAGGTGGCGTCCAGATAAAGCCCTTAGTTGTGCATCGCTTCAGTGTTACTTAACCCCTTCCTTCCTATGGCTTAAGCTGGGAGTCATGGCCACATTTTTAACCAGGTTCAGATATCTACACTGTTATCCTGGGAAACCTCTGGAGAATTGTGTACTTAGAGACTTCCCCTGGTAACTGAACCCTTCTTCCCCCCCCCCCCCACTGAAGGCCCTGGTAATCAGATGTGGGGAGGATTTGCAGTAAGTGTGTGAGATATTCTCAAATGAGATTTCAATGTTCCTGATTTCCATTGGGAGCCCAGTGTTAGTCTTGAAGTCTGAGTGATGGAATGAGGTTTACCCTACTCTCTCCAAGAAAGGGAATAAGGATGGGAGTGAGGCACACCTGATGCTGTTTCAACTGTGTGCCACAGGGGGAGCGTCTGAGCCGCTTTGGACTCCGCACAGAGACTACAGGCAGTGTCACCTTCCGCTTGCACTGTCTGCAGCAGTCCAGGTGAGTGACCCTGACTTACCCTCTGCCTTGCTGTGCCTTATCCCTGAGGGCTGGAGAGCAGCCATGATCCTGTGGCGGGCTCCCCTGCAGGGCCTTCATGGAATCGAGCTCCCTCCGGAAAAGGATGCAGAGTGTGTTAGACCGTCTGGAAGGATTCAGCCAGCAGAGTTCCGTTCACAATGTGCTGGGTAGGTTCCCCCCTTCCCCAGCTGGCAACCCTGGGCCAGTGTGGATATGTTCCTCCCTACACCATGGCTGCCAGTACCACGTCTTCTTCCCTTGCAGAGGCCTTTCGACGAGCCCGGCGCCGCATGCAGGAGGCCCGGGAAAGCCTCCCCCAGGACCTAGTGAGCCCCTCAGGAGCCTTGGTCTCCTAGTTCACTGCAGCCCTGGCCCAGAGTGCAGGAGGACAAGACGAGGGATGTCTGAGGCCAATGCTGTCTTGCCCCTGCCTCATAATAGAGACCACACTGGCCTGCTGAGAACTGAAGAGCTGGGAAATCCCTGGCAGCCCCTCTACCTGGCTTTCTGCAAGGTTTTCTCCCTGACACATGGAAATAAAGTCAGGGACCTTGTGGTCCCATACAGCCCCCCTCTTAGATTTCAGCTGCTGTCAGTGGGCATCACAACAAGGCAAGCTTTTTGGTCTGAACCTAGTTTGGGTCTGTCCTTGTCGTAGCCTCTTTTTCTGGCTTGCTTCACAGTTGCAGAAGATGTCAGGGATCTGTTGTTCCACAGCCTTTAAAAATGGAGCCTTCCTTCCAAGACAGAAGGAGGAAGGTGAGGGAGACCTTAAGTCTCTGGCCCTTGAGTCTCAGCCTCCTCTTTCCAGGGCAGCCTCATTCTACTGCTTAGGGCTTGCTGAGATTGACATGTGACTTATTTCTGGAGTAAATGAAGGCCAAAGGCAGTGCCCAGTCCTTTCTGCTAGCTGGGAAGTATCTTTTATTGTGTTTGTATTTTTTTACATAAAACGTTTTATATTGATGGATATTCTGTCGGCTATTCTCTGCTCAGGTGGCTGGCATGTCTGAGGTATTCTCCTTAACATCAGGGCCCCGAATGTCACTTATCCTTCCCCATTTCTGCCTTTCCCTGCTCCAGAGTGTTTCTTTGGGCTCTCTGACTTCAACCCCCTGGAGAGTCTTACAGATTAGTGCCAGCTTGTGTCTTAGCAGCACTCTTCTTAAACATTTGGAGCAACACAATGCCCTCCTCAGGCCCACACAGAAACTGCAGCCCCTGCCCTCAGTAGTGCTTTATTGGTAAGAAGCAGAGCATGCCGCCCAGTCTCAGGCTCAGAGGAGGATTGTGCATGGCGGGGGGTGGGGAGGGGTGGGAGGTTGGG